CTCTACTAACTCTTCATTTTTCCACAATTTCATCACCAAATAATATATGCAAGTATGCAACGTGGTAACTAATAACTAAGGGTTCGTTTGGCGTCACTGTGGTTTTATGTTTTTTGGGTTTTTGTTTTTTAAAACTATATAATATATGTCACATAATGAGTCAAAAATTATTCAAACTTATTAAAATCATGATAATTTTGAAAACTGACAACAGAAAAGTGGAAACATCTTTTTCTTTTTTCCTGTTTTTGGTTTTTAGTTTTTTTAAAAAAAAAGAAACTGAAAACCAAAAACGATGCCAAACAAGCCCTAAGTTAGTTGATTTTATTTACACGCGTCAACCACGTAGGAATTACATTGTAAAAGTCGTTATTCTTATTAAATCAATATTCGTGAAAAGAACAAAATAAACAATATTCGCCTTGTCTTAAGTGATAAAACAACAATTAATTATCAAATTCTAGTCTTGTTTAGCGAAAGAATACTATGTGAACTAATTAATTAAAAGTTTGTTTAAAGTGATCAAATAACACTAATTAATCCATTAAAGTTATTTAAACAATAAAAGAAAAGTGATTTATCTAAGTGCTCAAGAAACCTAACGTCCTTCTTTTATGTAAAATCTCTGTTTAATGCGTTTATGGACTTTCTTTCTTCTTCGTACCTCCAAGGACTTCAATGGATTCAATTAGGGTTGGAAAGTACTTGGGAAGAGAGAAGAAAAGTAGTGTGATAGTAAGAGAACTTGAGAGACTTAGGGTTTTTAGAATGCTAGGGTTAGAATTATGATTTTTCCGTCCTCTTTCGGGTTGAATGAAGATACCTATTTATAGGCGTAGGGATCTAGGTTTAGGGTTTTAGAGTCACGCAGTCAGATGGTGCGGCAACTCTCTAAGTCGCGCTGGGTGCCGCGCGCCAGCCTTATACGAAAATGCGTTTTTAAAACTTCCATAACTTTTGATTGCGAAGTCGTATTAAGGCGTGTGAGATAACATTGGAAAACTCTAAATGTCTACTTTCCAATTTCGTTTGAATTATGTTAAAATCTATTGTGGATCAAAAGATATGGCCGTTGGAGTGCAAGGGTGTCAGTTTTAGGGCTCGGTTTAGTGTTTTGATCATAACTTCTTCGTTTTAGCTCAAAATTGGGCTTATAATATACCGTTAGAAAGCTATTTTAAAGGGATATCCATATATATAGGCCATTCACGAAAATATGATGGTTGGTTTATATGTTTGGCTCGGTTTACAACAATGTAAGATCCATTGGATCGAATCATTGCATTTGCCGCATTTGGGTCCGTTATTAATCAGGTTTAAACATGTATGAGCACGTTTTAGGCCTAATTAGTAATCGGACAAGGCTCTAAGATAACTTGGTATCAAATATGAGTTTTTAACTTACTTCATAATGCATTTCATAGTCCATAAACACTTTAACTTTGATCTAGCATAAAGAACGAGTTTTTGTAACATCATCGCACTTCCTTTCGGGACAAGAGGCCAAAAGTAGGTGTCTACACTTCCTCATTGTATTAGTATGATTGTGTTGCTTCATGAACTAGATATCGTTTCTCCTCAGTTTAGCGGTCAAGGCCCTTTAGAGGGGGCTATTCAATAAAAGGAAAAAAAAAGGCCTTTTAGAGGGGTGAGGGAATAGAGCCTCTAACCGGACCCTTTTTTTTTTGTTGTGGAAGAGAGGGCCAAGCCCCAAAACAAACAGAAAGAACAAAGAAAATAAACAGAAAGCAAAGCTAGCCTAGAAGCTGTTACTCTTCCGAAACCATCCTTGCCCTCGTTACCCCACATAAGTCATTTAATAAAACGACATGAAGATCTTTCGGGACCGCTAGAAAGAGAACGAACTTTTCATTCAAACTAACTTCATAGTTAGCTAACCAGTCAGTCGCCTGATTAACCTCTCTATAGTAGTGATAGATGGAATTCTCCCATTCCGAAATAAGAGTTTTACATCTCCAAATCATGTGAATATAGGAGAGTTGGCAGGGGTTCCTTCACCAACATACGAACAACCACTTCGGAGTCAAGAGTTGACCTTTCTATGTGCTCCATCCCACTCCAAACTAAGCCCTATCAAGACAACATCTAACTCGGCTTTAGTACAGTGAAACCCCACACTTCATAGCAAAAGCCTAAAATAAATCACCTCGATGGCCCCTAATAATTCCTCCAGCTCCAGCTTTGCCAAGGTTGCCTTTTGAGGCTCCATTTGTATTGAGACAAACCCTCTCTTGGACATTGCCATTTGATTAATCTCAAGACTAACGGATTAATATAACCCCATAACTATGAGATGCAAAGCTTTTCATTATTTCATTAATCAAGGATTACTTGGTATTGTTTATCTTGGAAAGTTTACACTTTAGGGCATGTAAGTGAGATATATTACCAAGTAATAAAATTCAAAGCAAGCAATATGAAAGGAGGATATAGTGATGGTGTGATTGTATATATAGAACATTATGTAGTGATTGTGTGGTATTAGGTTACGAAAGCTGAACTATTAACTCCAATTTGGGTGTAACAGTTATATACTTACACTGGAGGTGGGGTGTGTAATTATTACCTTCATAATGAGGGTAATAATACTTCCATCTTTCTCTTTTCCTCATGACACGAACACCTTATTTCATTTGTAAACACCTTATTTTTTACAACAACACTAATTATTATTATTTTTTTCAAGTTTGACTTTTATTATCCCTTAATATTCATTATAAATCATATGTTAAGAAACCATCACCAAAATACATAGATTAAGAACAAAAAAAATATTCACTTGAGTACAAATGTATAATGACTTTTTTGTCATTACTTGTCTTCTTGATGTTTTTTGTTCCTCACCTTAGAAAGTAATCCCTTCGTTTTTAAATACTTGCTTCACTTTTTATTTTTGGTCGTTTTAAAAAATACTTGTTCTATTTTGTTATTTAGAAAGTTTTTACAATATTTAATTCATTTCTCTCACCTAACAAACCCAACATAAATCATATTTTATTAATTTCATATTCCCCCTCCTTCGATTCTCTCCATTGCTTTTACTTTTTAAAACCTTTTATTTTACCACCTACTCCACCACCTCCATATTTTATTACTTTTGCCAAATTCTTGTAAAATTCTACATATGGAAAAATGAAGCAAATATTTAAAAACGAAGGAAATATGAGTACTTATTTGTTTATATTTCCTTTATTTTAAGTTAGTTGACACATTCTTTTATATATATTTTTTAATTTTCTAACTTTATAGGATTTTCTAGTGTATATTTAGAGCTAGTTCTCATTAGCTTAATTTTAGTTTAGTTTAGCTTCAATCGGTTTGATTCAATTCCTAATTTCCTTTCTCTCAGAAATACTAGTAATTCATTTTAGCTCTATTCAATTTAGTCCATTTGTTTTCGGTAAATTAAAAGAGGCTCTTAATGCTTATACACAGCCTTTGTATAGCATTTTCCTTGTAAAAAATACTAAAGTTTTAACTTTAATTAAGTTTGAATTAAACGGATCTAACAAGAGACTATAGTACAGAAATGTTAGTCAAAATAGAATATCAATTTGATTGATTAATTCTTGTAAAACTTATGATTTTTGATCGAACACATAGTTGAATACTTGGAATAATATACTGAATAAATACAGTTTATACAAATACAATAAGAGTTACTCGTACTCAATTTGATTGATTAAATGATTAATCAATTAAAGAGTACAACCACAAAAAGTATAGAAGAAACAGAGGAGAGAAAACAAAGCAAGAGACTCAATCATAGTTACCAAAGTCCATAGCACGTTATCAAACACCCAAATATTCAACCACTGCAATCTCTCCGCCGTGTAATTCGTGAAATCAAACTCCGACCACCGGAAAATGGCGGAGATGGACGATGATGCTCCCTGAATTCCTATTTCCGACCACCGGTATATCGACGATGTCGCTGCTGTCCATATCCAACCCATTGATCTATCCACCTTTTATTAAACTTGTAACTTAATTTGTGAAATGAAATTGAATAAAGGAAAGGAAAAAAGGAAAAGTGTGGAATTATAATTTAATTGATTGATGGAGATAGGAGGATATAATTTGGTGGAGCTGGGGGGTGGAGGGAGAGGAAGAAGGGTCTAGTGAGGATAGAGAATTTGGAGGAGTTAAATGTTGGATTGTTATTTTGCGGACCCTTCTTTTTTTTTTTTTCTTTTTTTGTGGAATTTAGGGGAAATATCAAAGAATATAGACAGTTTGATAGGTGTAGAGAATGGAGTTGCGTATTGTAGTGTGAACTTTGTGAATGTGATGGTTATTTCAGTCTTTTAAGCTTGTGTTACTTGTTAAGGGTTGGAGTGTGATTAGATAAAGGTCATACTCCGCGTGTACAATTGAACATGTCTTGTTTAATATAGTAATTATAATTTATTTTATTTGTAATTTTAATCACACTTGTAAATGATGGGGTGTCATGTATATTGAATTGTTGATCGTTGATGTACAATAGTTGCATATTGGGTTTGTATGTTACCTTACATCAAGAATGTTTGAATTGGTATTAGGATTATGCGTATAACATTAATTTCAATATACTTCTATAACATTAAATTTCCTCTAATCTACCCCCACCTCAAATTATCCTTTTACCCAATTTATACTTATAGAAGTCTGAGACTAAAATAGTGGTCACTACTTTTAAATAACAACAAAGTTGGTCAAAAGTTATTCTCGTACTAACTTATCGGATCGAATTGAATATTTTGTACGACCTAAAAATTTTAGATATCCGATATTTTTGAACAAATCAAATTGGATCATGAGACAACAGCCATACAATAGGCCCAAAGGTTCCAAACCAACTGACGGCCCACTATCTCACTAGTACAGAAGCCCAATAATAATGGTGGATTTCTTCAGTACGGACATAGCTTCGAAGGAATATTCGAGATAGCAAAACTTCGTAGCAGAAGATCAAACCCCTCTCAAAATTATCAAAAAGCCCTCGACCCTAACTTCCACGCACGCGTATCACACGTGAGTTTCAGAAATACACAAAATATCCCTAATCCCCAATCCACAACCGTCCGATCTTATTACACGTCATCAATCCCATTGTCCTCTTTTTTCAACGGCTGAGATCACACTTGCCCAAGAGTTGCTACTGGTTCGAACCTCCCCTGTTTCTCCCTTTCTCCCTCTCTCTCTCTTCACTCCCCTGCTTTCCCCCTTTCCCCAAAAATAATTTCAAAAAAAAAAAAAAAGAAAATTCCCAAAAAATCTCTGTAATTGTATCCATGAAGATGATGATGGAGGAGGAGAGAGAAATTGAGGCGGCGAAGAAGGAGGTCGCAGACGCCATTAACGGCCAGAAAAAGGAGGAAGTTGTAGAAGAAGAGGTTGACGGCGAGGAAGAAGAAGATGCTGATGATGGTTCTGAAGAAGATGATGATGACGACGACGATGATGAAGGTGATGAGGATGCAGTGCAAGAAGGTCTACCGTCTTCTGATACTCCCGCAGTTCACTCGGTAGATGATGAAGACGATGATGATGATGCTGATGACGATGACGACGACGACGACGACGATGACGAAGACGACGGTGATGACGATGATGAGGTAACAAAATTCGTATTATGTATAATTTTGTTTGTTAGTTTTCTGGATTATTTTCAAAATTCTGGTAATTATATTATTTTTATGTTGATTTCAGCATTTTTTGTGGATTTTATTGTCAGATCTGTTGACGTGCTGCGTTTTTATGTGATGATTATGCTTAATATGTGATTTTTTTTCGTTTTTGATGCTTTTTCCAGAAGTTTCTGCTGTTTATGTTGTTTTTCTATGTTGTCTGCTGTTTATTCTGGCTTACTGGAGCTTAATTTATTAGATCTGCGGCTTTGTAGCGTAGATCTATGCATATACCAGAATTATGTACTGTTTGGAGGGCGTTTTGGTCAATTTCGAGGTTGGTACTTGGTAGTGGTCAAAAATCAAGTATTTTACTGTCAATTTGTAAAGACTTAGGGTTTATGAATTTTAATTTTTTAATTTTTTTTTTTCTGAATATTGTTTTTTTAGGTAGATCTGCAAAAAAGTGTTTTGGTTTAAAGTTTACTTTTGTTTGCGATTGTTGTTATTTTTCATTTGTTTGTGGAATTTGAGATTAGATAGAGGAATTTTAATGAAGTAATGTTGTAAATGTTTCGTGTCCGTAGATTTTTTATCTATTTTTGCAATAACCATTAGAGGTTTACATGGATGTTTTGCTTGATTGCGACCGATTTATGAATCTCATTTGATGTCAAGTTTTGGTGTTGAATTTTGGATTCATTGGCTTTTAAAGATTGGTCATTATTGGTGAGAGCTTTTTAAAATCTGGCCTATGCTGTGTCGCTGGGTTAGATCGTTTGTTGATTTGTTCATGTAGTCATGTGGGCGTGTTGATTGTTGATGGTGTTTGGTAAGATTTCTTAATCAAGGTGGTAAAAGTCAAATAGTAGCTGTAATTCTGTATTTTTTTTTACCATAACTTCTGAGTTTTTGCATTTTTAGCCTCATTTTATATTGTGTTGGATGGTATTGATCTAATAATATGTACAGAGTAACTAAGCAAGTAAGCAATGATTACTTTTGGATGTAATATCAACTCAATGTTTGGTGTAGCCGGTAGGAATTAATCAAATCACCATATTTATCAATATTTGTAATCTCGTTTTAGACTATAAATTAAGTTTTAAGTATTGATTTCCTCTAAAATATAAAAGTTTTTAAGTATTGATGATATGATTCTATGTGATTATTTTAATCTGAGTTTTTGGCTGGGTGGCACTCCCATACCTTTAAAAGCAAAAGACGACTCACTAGTGTATATTGTCCTCAAATCATCTAAGGTGTAGCTTGTTTAGGTAGTCTGAGCTCTCGAGTGATCCTCAATTTTTTACAATGAAACTGAATTGGCGGAGGGTGATGGTTAATGTTGTTTCGGTCATCTTTCTGTGAATCTTTAAAGTTTTACTGATTCTTGAACGTGATTATATAGGAGCCTGATACCGGGTATCTTGTTCGCCCTGTTGCTCCTGCTGAAGATGAGGTGGATGCCTCTGATTTTGAGCCTGAAGAGAATGGTGATGATGAAGATACCGAAGAAGATACTGATGATGAGGTTGATGATGATCATGAGGATGGGAAAGTTGAGGCTCCACCAAAGCGCAAAAGGTCAGGTGAAGAGGATGATTCTGGTGATGATGATGGAGATGATGATGAAAGACCACCCAAACGGTAGTGGTGAGGACCGTGGGGTTTGGCTTCTGTTACTCTCTGGAAAAATGCCGATGGAGGTTTGACCCATCGGCATGTAAGTCAATCCCTCTCTCTTTATCCTCTCTGTCATCCTTGTATTATGATCATCATGGTGTCATTTAGTATCATTATGGTGCAGACTCAAAAAGGAAAAAAAAAAAGTGCATACTAGTAGAATGACTCCTTGAACTGTTCTCAGCGTTAGATCTGATACATGATGTTATGAACTCTGTTAAATTTCTGTAGTGTTAGGTTCATGGTAGATTAGAGGGGTGGAAGTTAGGCTTATTTATGTTAATGTTTCAATTTCCGATGATCTGTTTTTTATACAACTTTAGTTTACCGGTTATGCCATTCCATAATTTTGCACCATCATTGGTGGTTGCCTATACATGTCTGTTTTCATTTGCTATACTGTGATGGGGGATGTTGTAATTTTTTGTGACAGTAGTCACCATTTGTGAGGTTATGTGCCCAGTTGATTCCAACCAATGCCCAACATATACTCGGTAACTCATTGTTCCATTGAACAGAATGATGACAACCTGTTATAGCCCATTATTGCTCTCAAAGGGTTTAAGCCATTCAATCTGAGGTGGTTCGGTTCAAAGAAGTGTGTTATTAGCCAATATGACTTGGGATAGGTTAGATTCACGGTATACTAATAATAACTCAAAGGGTTGGGTATAATCAAAAGTACAATATTGTGATCAATTAATTAGTTAATGTGAATTGTGAAGTGCCCTATTAATACAGTAATGATATTGACCTACTAGTAGAAGAAATTTTCAATTAATCTCTTTGAGCGAGAAAGCTGAAAGACACGTGCAACTAACCTTATGGTTGTGGGGCATTTACTTTTTGCTGAAGAAACTGTTAAAACAGCATGGGTCCCAACTTTTGGGACAAGACAGATAATTTTTTATTTGTTTTATTTGTACATTTATACTTGGTAATAAAAACACAATGTAATCATATAATGAATTATAATTGTGTGTATTGTTATCTGTTATTTTTATCAGTGTGTAGTTACTGATGTGCATTTTTTGGGTTTGTTTGGTAATTGGTTTTGTAGATAGCGACGATTGGTGAAAGAAAAGTATTGCAAAAGCGATCGCTGAGAATGTCGGGCCAAGGTGAATGGACTGGCTCACAATTTTGCTGGAAAGTCGCATCTCTATCGAGCCCATTCCAACACCCATCGAGCCCATTCCAACACAATACAACTGGACATTATTCTTGATATATTTCAGATTTAACATAACTATACCTGGGTATTTGGGTTTGGGTCGGTGCGGGTTATATCTTAGTGGTCCAAAGTGATCCAGATCAACTTGGGCTGTGGATTAATATTGTGTTGGTATTCGATAGGCCAATAAACGATCAAGGAAAAAAATATAAGCCAAATTTTGTTGCATGTGAATGTGGAATTATACATTTTTAAGTTTACTTTTAGTTTAGATTTTTTTTTTTTTAAATAAAATAAAATTACAAAGTACAACTACAAATTAGAAACAAAAACATACTGATGAATAAGCCTATAAACTTTTATGGCATTTAATTTAAACAATAATTGTTTTAAATTCAAAATATTTCTATGTAATAAAAATATTTTTAATTAAGCAATAATAAGGGAGTGAACAAGGCCTTGTTAAGAGTTGAATTCAAACTTTCCTTAGAAATGCGATTTTTAACCTTAATTTTGAGTATTGAAATACAAAATAAGTTGTTTTTAACCTTCCATGGTAATACCCAATACACTTTTCAATTTACCAACTCATGTAAAATCTAATTTTTCAATGGTGTGACTCAGAGTTGTCAATTCGGGTAAACAGGTCGAGTAAGAATGGGTCGGGTCAACTCGTGTCGGGTTAATTCAGATTAATTCCATAACCTATGTGGGTTGGGTATGGGTGGGTCATGCTTGAGTCGGGTCACGTCGGGTCATACTTCTTATCGGGTTTGGATCATGTTTAGGTCGAGTTAATAACAGGTCGGGTTACATTTGGGTCGGGTGAACAATAGGTCAGGTTTCACGGGTTAAAACGGGTTAAGGTAATTATCGAGTTCGAGCCGGGTTCGGTTCAAGTCAATAATTTGCGGGTTAGAATGAGGTCGGGTCATTCTCGGGTTTGAGTTGGGTTCGGTTCAAGTCAATAATTTGCGGATTATAATCAGGTCGGGTCATTTTCGGGTTCAAGTAAGGTTCGATTCAAGTCAATAATTTGCGGGTTATAATCAGGTTGAGTCATTTCCAAGTCGGGTCATTCTCGAATTCAAGTCGTGTTATGTTCAAGTCAATAATTTGCAAGTTACAATCAGGTCGAGTCATTTCCAAGTCAGGTCATATTCGTGTTCAACTAACTATAAATAGATAATTATCATTTATATCAAGCTAATTATTTCTTTTGACTATAATATGTATGGCAATATACTAGGGAACTATAGTCTATATTTTAAGAAGATAATTATCTCCTTTGACCATATAACGAATATATACTATACTTAACTCTTAAATTTTAGGATGATGCTCCTTTCTTTTGCTGGCCCAGGCCGACTTGTCTCCCAAGACAAAATTCATTGATCAACAATAATTACGTGGTCTAAATTACATTTAAGGTGATTTGAAATTGGGTCGGGAACAATTTGGGTTAAATTTAGGCCGAGTCAATAACAAGTCGTGTTAATTTCGAGTCGGGTTAGTATCGGGTTGAATTTTTAGGTTGGAAAAGTAATAGATATGGTAGAATTCGGGTCGAGTTAATAAAAAGTCGGGTTGAACTTGGGTCAGGTAATTAACAAGTCGGGTAGATTTCGGATCGGATTTGTAACAGGTTAGGTTAAATTCGGGTCAAGTTGAATTCAGGTCAGGTTAGTAACAAGTTGGGTTAAATTCAGGTTTTGACAATTAAAACGGGTTTGGGTCAATTTCGGTTCAAGTCGGGTTCAGTGCAAGATAAATTAAATTGGCCGTTGTAAACCGGTAAATCGGTGCAAGTTGTAAACCGGTAAATTGGTCGTTTAAAAGCAAATTGAATGGTTCCAAATACCCAATTAGGCGTCCGGAGGGTATTAGGGACCACGATAAACATTTCGGCAATTTTTATTTCCATGCGAAAAAAGTCAAAAAAATCCAAAATTAAAAGCTAATGTCCACGCTTTTTGAGAAATTTTGGAGATTTCGGGGCCTGGTGTCGAAAAGTCTTGAAATTCTATGGGATACATCTCGGGGTCATATAATGCCGTACGGAACCATATATGATCATTATTTGTTGTCATTAATGTTCGTAGTAGGCTTGAATTTACAAAATCGGTGAAGTTATAAACTGGTAAATTGGTCGTTTAAAAGCAAATTGGATAGTTCCACCCACCCAATTGGAATCCCAGAGAATATTAGGGACCATGATAAACATTTTGGCAATTTTATTTCTAAGCAAAAAAAAAAAAATCAAAAAATTATAAAAGTGAAGGCTAATATCACGCTTTTTAAGAAATTTTAGAGGTTTCGGTGCCTGGTGTTGAAAAGTAAAAATATTTTAGGGGAGATATCTCGGGGTCATATAATGCCGTTTGGAATCATATATAATTATTATATGTTATCATAAATGTTCGTAGTAGGCTTGAGTTAATGAAAACCCGTGCAAGTTGTAAATCGGTAATTAAATCTAATCGTTTAAACACAAATTGGATGGTTCTACCCACCCAAATAGAACCCCGGAGGGTATTAAGGACCATGGTAAACATTTCGGCAACTTTTATTTCCAGGCGAAAATAAGTCAAAAAATTCCAAAATTAAAGACTAATATCCATGCTTTTTGAGAATTTTTGGAACTTTTGAGGCCTAGTGTCGAGAATTCTTGAAATTTAAGGGGATATATCTCGGGGTCATATATTGCCGTTTGGAACCATATATGATCATTATTTGTTGTCATAAATGTTCGTAGTAGGCTTGAGTTAATGAAATCGGTGCAAGTTGTAAACCGGTAAATTTGTCGTTAAAAGGTAAATTGGATGGTTCCACCCACCCAATGGGACTCCCGTACAGTATTAGGGACAATGGTAAATATTTCGACAATTTTTATTTTCGGGCGAAAAAAATCTAAAATTATCAAAATTAAAGGCTAATATCCACGTTTTTTGAGAAATTTTTGAGGATTCGAGGCCCGGCGTTGAAAAGTCTTGAAATTCAAGGGGATACATCTCGGGGTCATTTAATGCCGTTTGGAACCATATATGATCATTATTTGTTATCATAAATGTTTGTGGTAGGCTTGAGTTATTTAAAACGGTGTAAGTTATAAATCGGTTAATAAGCCGTTTAAAGGCAAATTGGATGGTTCCACTAACCCAATTGGACTTTAGAAGGGTATATATTAGGGATCATGGTAAAAATTTCGGAAATTATTATTTATGGGAGAAAATAAAGTCTAAAAATTCCAAAATTAAAGTCTAATATCCACGTTTTTTGAGAAATTATAAAGGTTTCGGGTTCCGGTATCAAAAAGCCTTGATATTCTAGGGAATACATCTCGGGGTCATATTATGTCGTTTGGAACCATATATGTTGACTATTTGTTGTCGTAAATGTTCGTGGTAGACTTGAATTAATGAAATCGGTGTAAGTTATAAACCGTAAATTGGTCGTTTAAAGGAAAATTGGATGGTTCCAAGTTTCCAACCACCCACTTGCACTCCCGAAGGGTATTAGGAACCAAGGTAAACATTTCGGAAATTTTTGTATTCGGGCGAAAAAAGTCAAAAAATTTCAAAATTGAAGGCTTATATCCACGTTTTGAACTATGTATGATCATTATATGTTGTCATAAATGTTCGTGGTAGGCTTGAGTTAATGGAAATCGATGCAAGTTGTAAACCGGTAAATTGGCCGTTTAAAAGCAAATTGGATGGTTCCACCCACCTAATTGGACTCCCGGAGGGTAATAGGCACCACGGTCAACATTTCGGCAATTTTTATTTTCGGGTGAAAAAAAGTCAAAAAATTCCAAAATTGAAGGCTAATATCCACGTTTTTTGAGAAATTTTGGAGATTTCGGGGCCTGGTGTCGAAAAGCCTTGAAATTCTATGGGATACATCTCGGGGTCATATAATGCCGTACGGAACCATATATGATCATTATTTGTTGTCATAAATGTTCGTAGTAGGCTTGAATTTACAAAATCGGTGAAGTTATAAACTGGTAAATTGGTCGTTTAAAAGCAAATTGGATAGTTCCACCCACCCAATTGGACTCCTAGAGAATATTAGGGACCATGATAAAAATTTTGGCAATTTTATTTCTGGGCAAAAAAAAAAATCAAAAAATTATAAAAGTGAAGGCTAATATCACACTTTTAAAGAAATTTTAGAGGTTTCGGTGCCCGGTGTTGAAAAGTAAAAATATTTTAGGGGACATATCTCGGGGTCATATAATGCCGTTTGGAACCATATATAATTATTATATGTTATCATAAATGTTCGTAGTAGGCTTGAGTTAATGAAAATCCGTGCAAGTTGTAAATCGGTAATTAAATCTAATCGTTTAAAGACAAATTGGATGGTTCTACCCACCCAAATAGAACCCCGGAGGGTATTAAGGACCCTGGTAAACATTTCGGCAATTTTTATATCCAGGCGAAAATAAGTCAAAAAATTCCAAAATTAAAGACTAATATCCATGCTTTTTGAGAATTTTTGGAACTTTTGAGGCCTAGTGTCGAAAAGTCTTGAAATTTAAGGGGATACATCTTGGGGTCATATAATGCCGTTTGGAACCATATATGATCATTATTTGTTGTCATAAATGTTCGTAGTAGGCTTGAGTTAATGAAATCTGTGCAAGTTGTAAACCGGTAAATTGATCGTTAAAAGGTAATTAGATGGTTCCACAAACCCGTAGACACCCATTTGTGTCTCCCCAAAACCAAACCGGTGATGAGTACCTTTCGCGTCGAATCATAATCGAATGAAGTGAAAGTGTGGAAAGTTTAGTGTTGCGGATAGTTTTAATTTCTTTTCTCTTCTCTCTGTTTTTGAAAACTTATTTTAAGAAAACAGCCAAACCAATTTGGTTGGTCTAAGATATGGGTCCAACAGTAGTTTAGTTGGATGGGGCTTGAAAAGTGCTTTCAAAGATATATTATAAGCCCAATTCCGATGAATATTGAGGAAGTTATGGCCAATTTACTGAACTGGGCCCGGTTTGAGCCTTATATGCGGACCAATGATCTAGGGGAGGGCCTAATATAGATTTATCATTCCTAATGCAATTAGGAATGGATTTAGGCTTCTAGATTCTTCTAGAAGGTTCTTTTCAATCCTAATTTAATTAGCTTTGGTAAATTGACTTTTGTTGACTTTTCAGAGTTTTAATTAAAATCAAAGAACATTTTTTGAGGAAAGATACGATTTTATCCTCCTGTACG